GGGGAGGGTTGGGGGGTTGTGAGTGTAAGGGCGGTGGTGTTTGAGGTGGGTGGGGAGAGAAGATAGAGGGTTTTTGTGGGGTGGGGGTGGGGAGGTTGTGTGTGAAAGGGCGGTGGTGTTTGAGGAAGATGGGGAGAGAAGATAGAGGGGGGAAAAGTGAGGAAAGAAAAGTTGAGGAGAGAAATAAAGGGGAAAGGGGAGAGCTGGGCAATGAGTCGCTTTAGCAAAATCAGGATAATATGTTAGTGCAACTCTTCGGCAAATAATATGATAGAACCGCTTCTGCAAATGGGTTAGAACCACTAAGACAAACGGGTTAGCATCACTTCAACAAAAGGGTGCACCCACTTCGGCAAGCAGGTCAGGAAAGGGAGTTAAGAATCTGAATTCGGACAATGTTTCATTGCTAATTATCCGGTTATTCGGATAGATTATCCGGATTTTGCCCACCTCTAAGTAAGGGGAGAGTAAAAAGGAGGAAGAGATGGAAAAGAAACGGGAGAAAAACGGGAGGATAAGTGACAACGGGCAAAAGAGTCCTACATACAAGCGACATTATCGTGTCTTGTCTAGCACGTGCGAGGCTCACTCACTCACTCAGACCCAAAGAGGTTTTGCTCAGACCACGAACACACCTTGAGACTTTACTTTACTTTACTTCTATCCGCCGCTTATACCCTTTTGGGAGTCGCGGGAAGAAAGAGACGTCTCTCTGTCGCCAGCCGGAGAGCTTGGGTCAGTGGGAATGCCGTGGGTGGTTAATGTTTCCCTGACTCCATCTATCCAGGTCTTTCTCGGTCGCCCTCTAGCCTTGTTGTCATCACATTTTTGGATGTAGGCACGTTGTGCTGGATGGTGTGTTGTTTAGTTTTAGTAGAGGTTTTACCGCGCTCTTACCGTGTGTTGGTAATCGTAGGAGATGTCCGAACCATTTGATTCTTTGGTGTTGGAAAATAACACAACACGGCTTGCCCCAGCCATCTGGCAGATGCACCGACCATCCGAGTGCCCACAAAACACGATCACCACTATCTCCGAGCCGAAACGTCTCTATTGTAAAATACTGTTTTGCATAATTTTAGAATCTGTGGTTAGTCGGTTTATTTCGGGAAAGTAATCGAGTACCTATTTGACATTGAAGAAGAGAACAAGGGCAGGGCGAGGCGTGAGCCACGGACTGTGGAAGACAAGACCACGGGAGCGTGAGCGTGAGTCGCAATCGTGGGTCAAGAGAATTGTTACTCATAACGACGGTGCAAGTTGGATCACAACAAGAGGTGGGTGTGTGCAGTTAAACCACAGAGCCTCTTAAATCTGAGCCTGAGTCTTTTTAGTAGAGGTTTTACGGCGCTCGCAACTGCGCATAAGGTCAGATGAGCGCCAGAAGATTAGAGGTGTTACAAGAGAGTAACAAACATAAAAAAGAAGAAGGGGAGATAAGGACGATAGATGTTTGATAGGAAAGAAGAAGTAAACAACACCAGAGTATCCGCAAACCACCC